ATGAATATTTGTATACCTAACCCTGAATTGTACCTCACAATTTTAAAATAAAAAAATTTAGAAGAAAAAATTAGCTGGGCGTGGGTGTGCACCTATAGTTCCAGCTACTGGGAATGCTGAGGTGGAAGGATCGGCTGAGTCCAGTGGGCCAAGACTGCCTGGCTATGAGCAGGCCGCTGCACTCGCTGGGTGACAGAGTGAGACTCAGATTAAAAAAAAAACCAAAAACGAAAAACATTACAGGCTACAGGAAACTGATTGTACCATAGCACTCCAGGCTGGGTGACAGAGTGAAACCCTATCACCAAAAAAAAACATACTTACTTCTATTTTTTAAGTTGACAGATAAAGTCATATATATGTATCACGTCCAACATGATATTTGAAGTATGTGTACATTGTGGAATGACTTAACCTAACCAATTAACATATTTATTACCTTGCATAGTTACCATTTTGTGATGAGAATACTTAACATAAATCCTCAGCTTTTTTCAAGAATACAATATATTATTATTGAACATCTTTTCAAGTGCATATTTACCTTCTGTATATTCTTTTGGGTAAAGTGTCTGTTTATGTCTTTTGGCCTATTTTTTTTTTTGAGTGAGTTGATAGCTTTCTTAATGTTGAACTGTGGTAATTCCTTATATATTCTGGATATAATTCCTATTTGGCCATATGACTTGGAGATATTTTCTCCTGGTCTATAGACTGTCTTCCTTTTCTTAACAGTGTCTTGCATAAAAGTCTTTTTTAAAAATGGAGTCCTGTTTATCATTTTTCATTTATGGATTATAGTTTTGTTATGTCTAAGAACTCCAAGTATGAAGGTTTTCTCATTTTTTTTGTTAAATTCTGTGATACATTTTGAGTTCACTTTTTATTAGGTGTGAGGGATTAGGTCACTTCTCTCTCTTTTTTTCGTTTGCATATTGATGTCCAGTTATTCCAAACCATTTGTTGAAATGATTGTTGTTTCAGGGGTCTCTAAGACCACTCCCAGGTGTGGTGATTTGCTAGAAGGACTCACAAGACTCAGAAGTTCCTGTGCTCATGGTTATAGTTCATTGCAGTGCAAGGCTACAAAGCAGAAATCCCAAAGGGGAGCATGTGTGCAGTGAAGCTTGGAGGCAACCAGGCACAGGCTTATAGAAGCCTTCCATAGAGTCACAAAGGGCACACTTGGTTCCTTCAGCAAGGAGTCATGACAACATGTATAAGGTGTTTTCTGGTGATGCTCATTAAAGACCTGTTGCCCAAAGTTTTCACTGGGGACTGGACACATAGGTACCTGCTGCTTAACACATACCAAAACTCTAGACTTTTAGAAAGAAAGCAGGTGTTCAACATGTTGTTAGTACAAGTAGTCTTTGCAAAATGAGCCACACTTATCATTAGGGAGAGGTTTTGTGTTTTTTTTTTTTTTTTTTTTTAGTTGGAGTCTCACTCCATCACCCAGGCTGGAGTGCAGTGGCACACTCACAGCTACCACAGCCTTAGACTCCTGGACTCAGGTGATCCTTCCACCTCAATCTTCCAAGCCCAGCTACTTTTTAAAATTTATTGTAGAGATGAGGTCTCCACGAGTTGTCCAGGCTGGTCTCGAATTGCTGGGCTCAGGTAATCCTCTCACCGCCGCCTCCCAAATGCTGGGATTACAAGTGTGAGCCACTGCGCCTAACGAGGAGAAGTTTTATATTAGTGTAGGGAACTGTTTACCAGCCAGGTTCCCAGATGCTAGTCAGCTTTTCTCCTCAACTATTTCTTCTTTGTCGAATGACTACATCTTTGACAAAAATCAATTGGCTGTATTTGTGTGGTCTGTATCTCTGGACTCTGCTGTTTTCCACTGATCTGTGTGTCTCTTCTTTAGCCAATAAAACACTGTCATGAGTACTGTGTCACTTTATAGTAAGACTCAAAACCAAGTACTGTGAGTCTTATAACTTTATTATTTTTCAAAATTGTTTTGACTTTTAATTCTTTTGTCTTTCCATAT